AAATTTAGTGATTTTTCAAATAAAAGTTGCACTACCACTAAATTTTAGCGAAGCCAAAAAAAGCACTTTGTGTATAAGTTTTATACCAGCTATAATGAAATTTATTGAAGTGAGTAGGGAACAACAATCCAGAATATATAGTACATATTCATAAAATTTGATTACTTTTCTAAATAGCACTAATTTAGTGCTATTTTTTTATGAAATACCACTAATTTAGTGCAAGTTTTTTTAAATACCACTAAATTTAGTGGTAGTGCTATTGAAATTTCACTACCACTAAAATTTAGTGGTAGTGCAATTTTTTTTAAATATCACTAAAGGGTTAGTGGTAGTGCAATTTATTTTTCACTACCACTAACCCTTTAGTGGTAGTGGAATTAAAAATTGCACTACCACTAAATGAACAGTGATAGTGAAATTATTAGTGCACTAAAAATACAGTGCATTATGCCCATCTCTGCCTTGTATCAACTAGAAATGCATTTTGTATATTCAGTGACACATTTTTAAAAAGGCGTCATGGAATTTGGTGGAATCAAGTACGAAATTGTCTTAATCGCGAAATTACTTAAATACAAAGTGTTTTTTTTTTTTTTTTTTTTTTTTTGGTTAAAAAGTATTTGTTTTCTGATATTCCAGTAAAAAGGACAATCGAGGATGAGCGGTGAGATTTGAAAACAATTGATTACATCAAGTTATGCGTTATTTATTTAATGACAATGTATTAGCAGATCTATTTTGTTGAAAATGTGGAACGTTTTCTGCAAAAGCTATAATTTTAGACCCAATTCGAATATCCCTACAAACGACGGAAACATAAATATAACATTCGTGAATCGAAAGAGATAATAAAATCTGAGTATAGGTTAATTTAATATTTGATTCGACTATGTCAACCCAAATTTAGGTATAATCTTCTGAATAAAATTCCTATCAGAATCATAAACAATTTGACATTCGGCATTTTACAGGTTTCAATCCCAATGCTCACGTCCAATGCATTACGACCAAAATTAAAATAATAAGTGACGTCGATTATTTTACTTTCGGTTCGTATAATGTGAAAAGCCCTCCTCTCAAAAATCAAGACGTACAATTGTAAAAGATGAGTGACAGTTTGTAGTATCAATAAAGAAAACCAGTGATGAAAGTCTTAAAGTCGAGTGGGCCGATTGTGTGATGTCCTACACTCCTTTGACCTTCACATAACAAAGAAAGTTTTTAGGGGAATTCGCGAGAACTAAATCATACCAATTATATTTAAAGTTATAATTTAAAGTCCAAAGAACCTAATATATGAGAGGAATATCCCCCTCTGAATCGATTTCTACTAAATTTGCCGGAGCATTTTTGCCTTTTTGAATCATATAAAAAATATATGAGAGCTATATACAAATCTGAACCGATCTCCATAAAATTTGCCAAAGGTATTTCTGAGCTGTATTTGATATATTTCCCGAATATCACTGTTACGGAGTGCATATTACGGCTGTGGAGAACAAATATGACAAATCGGATGAACAATACATATGGGAGCTACAGCTATCTATATTTGAACCAATTTCGACATACTTATTTCCAGGTTTAATTTGGTCGTATGTGCAAAATTCCATACTATTTGGACTGATATTACACGTTTGGTGCACAAAAAAAGAAAATCGGGAAATATCCAAATCTGAACCGATTTCGATACAATTTAGCAAACGCATTACTGAGCTATATTTGATATGTTATCCCAAAAATTGTTGTTAAAGAATGCATAATACGGCTGTAGGGGACAAAAACCACAAATCGGATGAACAATACATATGGGAACTATAGCTATATCTGAACCAATTTCGATCAAATTTGACATACTTATTTCCAGGTTTAGTTTGGTCGTATGTGTAAAATTCCATTCTTTTTGGTCTGATATTACACTTTTGGTGCACAATAAAAGGAAAGGAATCGGACGAAGATATACATGGGAGCTATATCTAAATTTTGACCGATTATTTCCAACTTCAATAGGGTCCTTGAGTCAAACAAATGACTTGCGCAAAATTTCACCATAAATGCGACCTTTACTTTCCCTGTAGCTAGTATCTTTAGTAAAATTGTAGTGTTTTGTAGTGGTGACATTGTCACCAGTACTAGTGCAGAAGAATACCCAAAGCAATGCAATTTCCTATAGACATTTTGGGTTTCCAGCGCTATATGTAGACATTTGAACCAAATAATCACTTGAAAAAGATTAGATCTTTTTAGATTACAAATCAAATCAAATATTTCAATATTTTTATATTTTTATTTTCCATAGATTTTAATGACAATGAAAAAAACAAACTGTCGATACTGTCACTAGAATCAGTGTCCCTAATGAAACTCTACTCGCAAATTGCTGATATCTGAACTAGTACAATTGTCTATAGAAATAAAGTGGTAACATAAGGTACACATGGTTCTTTGCTCGCAGCAGGGTTGTTTAGAAAAATACGTGGGCAGATAGGCTGATTGACGGACATGCATAAATCGACACAGATCATCAAAACTATCTCGTTTCTTTTTACCTGTTACAAAACAAATGCACAAAGATGTAATACCCCGACAACCTTGTGGTGTAGGGTATAATAAGTGTTTAAAACTTTGTCAAGATCGGTTCAGATTTGGATATAACTCCCATATACAGGGTGAGATAAAAAACCAGTAAAGAAAGTCCTAAAGTCGGGCGGGGCCGACTTTATGATACCCTACACCACTTTGCTAATTTAGTAGAGCCCCACATAACAATTAAAAGTTTTTATGGGAGAATTCAATCATACACGCTATGATTATAAGTATAATTTAAAGTTCAAAGGGCAAAATATGCCGAATCAGTTGTATCTTTTAAATTCGGGCTTGTATTGGCCATTTGGTGCAAAATTAATTTGAAATCAGATAAAGATATATATGGGAGCTATATCCAAATCTGAACCGATATCGATAAAATTTGGCAAAGATATTTCTGAGCTATATTTGATATATTTCCCTGAATATCGTTGTTGCGGAGTGAATATTACGGCTGTGGGTAACAAATACAACAAATCGGAGGAACAATATATATGGGAGCTATAGCTATATCTGCAATTGCCCAAATGTGCCAAATTCCATCCCATTTGGGCAAATAAAAAAGTAAAGCGGATGAAGTTATATATGGGAGCTATATCCAAATCTGAACCGATATCGATAGAATTTAGCGAAGATATTTCTGAGCTGTATTTGATATATTTCCCCAATTATTGTTGTTGCAGTCTGCATATTATGGCTACGGAGGACAAAAATAACAAATCGGATGAACAATATATGTATGGGAGCTATAGCTATATCTGAACCGATTTCGATCAAATTTGGCATACTAATTTTCAGGCCTAACTTGGTTGTATGTGCAAAATTTTATACTATTTGGGCTGATATTACACGTTTGGTGCACAATAAAAGGCAAATCGGACGAAGATATATATGGGAGCTATATCTAAATTTTTACCGATTATCTCCAATTTCAATAGGGTTCGTCCCTGGGCCAAAGAAATGATTTGTGCAAAATTTCATCTCAATCGGATACCTGCATTTTGTTCACAAGAATACATGGACAGACGGACGGACGGACTGACATGCATAAATCAACTCAGAAAGTGATTCTATGAAGATCCTCAAAAGTAACTATGAGTCTATCTCGTTACCTTTTGCCTGTTACAAACAAATTCACAAAGACATAATACCCTGACCACCTTGTGGTGTAGGGTATAAAAATGCAACAAAGTCAAACGCCATAATTTTTACATTTTTTTCAGAATATGTTTGGATTTGTTCGAATTTGTCACCTTTGGCAAGATTTATGGCCTTCAACCGCCAATGAAACCGTCACACGCTGCCCGAATGTTGTTCTGCGGTATTTTTGCCCATTCCCGGCGAAGCGCTTGCTTGAGGTGATCGACACTTTGGTATTTTTTAGTGCCAACCTTGCTTTCCAAAATAATCCAGACACAATAGCCCAACGGATTGGTATCCGGAGATTTTGGTGGCCATTGTGCGCTGGAAATGAAGGGAGGAACCTCATTTTGTAACCATTCTTGGAATGTCCAAGGTCTGCGGCCAAAATGTTTGCGTGCCACGGCCGATTAATACCAACGGAGAGCGACCATCGGCTGTTATGGCGGCCCACACCATCACCACGGCCAGCGCTTGAGTTCTGGTGGGCAACTGAAGGTGCACATTTTCAGCTTACCTCTTTGGCAAGTAAGCACGACTATTTTGTTTGTTTACGAACTGCGAGGCAACGAATGTTTTCTCATCGGAGAAACCCAAATTCGGCAGTTCACCACTTTCGGCCAAGCGAAGCAACTCTTTAGCTCTTTTGATTCTATTTTCTTTCTGTTGCGGTGTAAGTTCATGCACTTTTTGGAATTTTAATGGCTTTACGCCGAGCTTATTTTTCAATATTTGTTGAATGGAATATTGCGATATGTTCAGCTCACGAGCCATATTACTTTTCGAACCATTTCTGCTGATTTTGTTGTTTTCTTCCGTCCACTTCCTTGACGCTATGCTAACAATATCACGGTAACGAGCGATGGTACGAGACACAAAAGATTTATTCACATTTAAATGTAAAGAAATCACACTAACACGATTGAATTCCATCAAAAATAACTTTTTTTGTGAAAAATTCTCACCAAAATGCTTTTGAACACTTGTAAATAATATAATGAGCTGTCACTATAATTTTAATTTTAAAAGCTGTTGGACGTGTAGCTTAGAAATGACAGTTTGTTGCAGTTTTTTCAACTCAGCCTGTACATAATTATACATTATATAATTATTAAAAATATACATATCCGCATATACCCATGCCCACTATTAGGTATTTAGTTAATGTTTATTTTTAATATTATGTTTTTTTTTTAATTTTATTTGGTCTACAAATGGCAATTACGATATATTTTATAATTATATTTCATGAATTTTTTTGCATTACTTACCAGGCATATTGTTAAATCTCACTTTTAGTTTGCCCGAATCAACAAGCTTTGCACTTCCCAAAATGTCATTTGGTCTGCCAGTTCTACAAAACATTAAACAGTTATAGATATTGATCGTTAAATCACTAGTAGGAAATAAATTATTTCCCCGACTTACAATTCATTGATGTTATAATTGTAGACACTAAGATCACCATTTTTCAATTGACCATATTCAGCGTAAATGCACTTGCCTCCCAATTCAAAAATAAAGGGATATTTTTCTTGTTCATACCAACGGCCCAAATACTAGAAAAGTCAAATATTTTAATTAAGAAAAAAAAAGCATCTTTTTCAGTTCTGCAAAATTACCCGAGTAGCATCAAAATTTTGAACTGTAGGTATATTCTTGTTGCACGATCCACGATTTAAAACTTGAGCTTGGCCCAGTTGTATTAGGCAAATTAAAACAGCAATTTGTTTTAAGCTAAAATTAGACAATATTTTAATAAACACTTAAGTTGTTTTTGTTTTTATTCAATTCCAAATAAATCGTATGTGAGAACTTGTTAAAAACAACACCTTTTCATTTTATCGCCGTACATTTAGCGTAACTCTACTTCAGATTGTGTTATCACTGTTTTGTCTTACACGAATTAAAAGCGACTGACAATTACTGTAAACATTTACTTTGATTTTATAGCGAAAAAAGCAAAGAAAAAACAAAACATTCCCCAGTTGTTCAAATATTGCAATTCTCAATAGATAAACTACGAAGTTAGTCTATGACTAGACAAAATTATTCTCGTAACTATTGAAACCTAATGAAATATTTTACATTTTATAACCTTAAATCGATTAAATTTCTTTAAACGAGATCGAATAACATTCATTAGAATAACTCAGGCTTATGAGAGAAAATCCGGAGATCGAGATCGAATAACATTTATTAGAATAGCTCAGGTTTATGAGAGAAATCCCGGAAAATAGAGTACTGACATATGCATATATCGTACTCTGTATTGTTTGAGGTAAATAATAACCAGTAAGGAAGTGACAATAGTCCAGGGCCGACTATTTGATGCCCTACATTGCAGTGCATACTTTCTAGAAATTTCACTAACAAATATGTGTTTATACTGGGGTATTTTTTTGTAAAGTATTGCGGCATTGCCACTTAAAAATTGAAATCGCATGAAACATATATTTGAGGGCTATATTTTAATCTGAATCGATTTCCACCAAATTTAACACACCTATTATATATGTATATGTATCATCTCTCATAAAAAATAGCATTACTAAATAGTATAGAGTATACAGAGTATATAATATGAATATAAGAAGGCTTAAATATAATATCGGCCGATCAGTATTGTGAAGGGCTGCTAATTTTCGATTAAAAAAAACTTCCTCATAAAAATATTATTTTTCTATGCAAATTTCATATATGATATACCGTCCTAAAAATTTACCCACCTAAATGTAAAACCGGTAAAGAAAGTCCTAAAGTCGGTCGGGGCCGATTTTATGATACCCTACACCACTTTGCTAATTTTATTGGATAATTTTAAATGCAAATGAAATAAGCCGAAGCATTTGTATCTTTTAAATTCGGACTTGTATTGCCTATTTGGTGCAAAATTAATTTGAAATCAGATAAAGATATATATGGGAGCTATATCCAAATCTGAACCGATCTCGATAAAATTTGGCAAAGATATTTCTGAGCTGTATTTGATATATTTCCCCGAATATCGTTGTTACGGAGTGCATATTACGGCTGTGGGTAACAAATACAACATATCGGATGAACAATATATATGGGAGCCCGATTTCGATCAAATTTGGCATACTTATTTTCAGGCCTAATTTGATTGTATGTGCAAATTTCCATACTATTCGGGCTGATATTACACGTTTGGTGCACAAAAAAAGGGAAATCGGACGAAGATATATATTGGAGCTATATCTAAATTTTTACCGATTATCTCCAATTTCAATAGGGTTCGTCCTTGAGCCAAACAAATGTTGTTTGGAAAATTTCACCTCAATCGGATAATAAATGCGACCTGCATTTCGTTCACAAAAATACATGGACAGACGGTCGGACTGACATGCATAAATCAACTCAGAAAATGATTTTATGCAGATCATCAAAAGGAACTATGGGTCTATCTCGTTTCCTTTTGCCTGTAACAAACAACTGCACAAAGACATAATACCCTGACCACCTTGTGGTGTAGGGTATAAATAGCTACAATGGCAGAACATGTTTAAAATTAGGTTCAGGTTTACATTAATTCTTACGGAATTAATTCCCGTATTTAATTCCCCTGAATGAAGAAATAATTCTCAATCACTCGGAAGTGTCAGGCAGTCAAGCTTTCATCACAAGTGGTCCTCTAGTGGAGAGGCTTTTTTTCGCTTCCGCGTCTCGTTCGTTAACTCAAATATCATCCACCCGGTTGATAGCAAATCAACCTCATCTGCCCGAATACATCAAGCCCTCATGCCAACTTCAACATTACGAATATGCCATGCCGACTGCATCAACCCGAATACATCTCGTTGATCACTACCAAACGCAGATTAAAAAGTCCTCTAGTATCAAATTGCCAATTCGACCAGCCGAACTTTGAATACCCTCCACCATTTGAAAGATATTTTGAAATTCTCAAAAAAAAAAAAAAAAACTTTTTAAATCATAAAAATATCCAACATAGCGAGTTATTCCTATATTGGGGTCTATACGAAGACTGTGACCTGCATTTGTCATAAGCCATTATAATATTCAAATACGAAAAATTCCCGTAAATAATGTCGTAAAAATATCAAAATACCGAATAAAGGGAGTTACCGTTATATAAGGTCACAGACTGTAGTATCCATTACGAACTTCAAATACCAAATTTGAATCAATTCCGTTGAATACTATAGTAAAAATCATGAAAATACCGGATGTAGGAAGGTATTTTTATATTGGGGATATACGCGAACGTGGACCTGCATAGTCAATTTTCTGTCACAAGCTGTAGTACCTATAGAAACTTACCCATACGAAACTTGAAACAAGTCCGATGAATAAGGTCGGTAAAATCATCAAAATACCGAACATAGGGAGCTATACGAAACAGTGGACCTGTAAACCCAGTTACCAATACGAAATTTAAAACACGAGTCATTATTGTTAAAAATATTGATTCTTTATAGGGGATGATACAAATTTGTGTAGAATATTTATTTTTTGGCAGTGTTTTTAACTTAGTTGCATAAAAAAAGAAACAAATTAATTAATTATTTATTTATTTAAATTTATTATTTATTTATTTATTTATATATTACTAGCCGGCCCGGTCCGCGTTGCCGGCCGTAGTTTTTGTTGACCGTAGTTTTTGTTGACAGATCTGACTGATATAAGAGTTGACGTACTGGTCGATTAAAAGTGTTTTAAAATACCTGTACCCATATTTAAGCCGTGGGCTTCAATATTTAAACCGTGGGCTTCAAATGTGTGGATGTGCTATACAAATATTATTATTATTATTAATTTTTAGTATGGTGTAGTAATTTGAAATTTACTGTATTTTCTACACCCCATAATTGAGGGCTGAATGATTTCAGAATAGCCAAAGATAATTACTTTTTTAAACCCAATAACACCTTAGATTGTACATTAGAGTCCTCATAAGTCCCCCTAACCATGTCGGTCTGTTTATCCGCCAAAGGTGGACTTGAGGGGGTACTATTACATGGAGAAAATTCTAAAATTTGTAGATATGTTGAAATTTTTGTGCAAGATTTTCAACCCCCAAACACACATTTTTAGTCAAAGCACTACTCCGAAACATAGACCTACATTGAAAACTTTCTTCTAACCCTTATAATCCAAGATGACAATTAGAGGCCAAATCACAAATATAGCAGAACAACATAGCATGTCAAAATGAAAAAAAATCGCGTGATTTAAAAAAGTAAAAATAGTTTTATACACCTCATAATTGAGGGCAGAATGATTCCCGAATAGACAAATATAATTACTGTTTTACAACCATTACCGTAAGATGGGAATTAATTTTATTTGCCATATAAATTGTAAGTTGGAGACCCCATAAAGTTCATATTTTTCATCATGGTATAATTTAATGACGATTCAAAAAATAATCGGTCCCGTGCTACTTTCTTATATTTGAAATTTGTTCATGTTTTCACAATTTATTTCATATAGATGTACATCCCAAATCTACGTTCCCAACCAATATTCTCTTGGGGGTTACAAATTCAATAGAATACAAAATTTTCTTTTCTGACCACACAATAGATGTGAAAGTGGTCTTGTGGATACTCCAATGTGGGGACTTTACTTAAATAAATTCTAATGTGGCAATTATCTGCAGGACCAAAATGGCCCCTACTCTGAAAATTTAAAATTTTATGCGAAGAGGTTCTCTACCCCCTTAGAAACAAAGATGCCAAATAAGGGCCAAAAACAGAAAAAAGTGGCCAAGACCCCATAAATAGCTTAAATCATACGATGGTTATATAAATATCATGACCTGCAAAAGCGATTTAAGGTATCTTGAATGTTTAAAAGAATTTCTGGAAGGATAGAAATCCTTTTCTTACTAAAAGTCCCATTCACTCTACTATTTTCCACCCTTTATATTTGGTATTTTACTGATTGTACTCCCAAAGAATTTTGCATTTTGAGCTCTGATTGGACGGATTATTGTGACATGAAAGAAGTAGTTTCATGCTTTGAAATGAACCCCTTTAGGCTTCTTCGGTCATTTTTGTTTGTTTAAATGTGTTCGCATCTTCCATCTAAACCACGATGTAGGCCCTGGAGTTGAAAGGTAGATGTCAGTTAACATCCTATTTCGCACATATTTCAGTTTTGTAGTGAAAAATTATTCTTTATTTTGTTCACAAAAAATCCACTGAATTCAATATGATAATACAAATTGAAAAAAATTGACAAAAAACGAACAACCAATTGAAAAAATCTTCAATCTCTTCGCTGATATTTCACAGCAAATGTTTAAAGGTCCTTACAAAGTTTGTCAATAGAATGTACTATTATTTTAAAATTCGATTCCATTGAATTTTTTTCCGATTTTTTCCCGATTTGAGAGTTTTTGCAATGAGATCTTTTTTTTTGTGATTTTTTAGCGATTTTGAAAAAGAATTATCTTTTAATTTTGGCGTGACCGCGTTAAATTACTTCGATATCATCTATTCCGTTTCTCCACCACATAATTCGGTACTACACTTCCATGCAACCCGCCATCAGTTTCAGTTCTCAAGAAATCAAGTCAATTTAAATTAATATTCGATTTCAAAAATAAAATATAAAAAACACTACAACTGTACATTAGAAACAAGTAAGCAAAGGCTACAGTCGAGCGGGGCCGACCGTTGAATACCCTACAACACTATAATAAATTATACAGTTTATATAGGCCATATACTAGAAAGAATTCCACAAGATATTGTGACAAATAATAAAAGAAAACCATCAGGTTTCGTTCTCTAATTTTCGAATAATAGCAACTTAAACTAATTTAATCATTTCCAATTTATTGGTAGATGTTGCACGTAAATGGTCTTCCTAGATCTGGAACCAATATTTATCAAAGACCTATAATCTCTCAGAAGTGGCAAAAGATTAACATTTATAATTGGTTTTTGACTGAAACGCATCTATATGAGATA